GCTTGAAGTATTTTTCCACTATTTAATGAATATATATTCAAAAAAAATTTATTCTTATTATAAGTTTGAGAAAATAAAACATATTCACGTTTAGACCTTTCTATGAATGTAATGTGATAACCATCTGAGGGCTCTGATTTATCATATGAAGCATCTACAACGAACATTTTAAACTTGCATTCATTGATAATAAATGGAAAAAATGTAATATCTGCAGATATTTTTTTTAATTGTAATTCATTACCCATTCCAAAGAAATCAGATCCATTCAATTTTCTATATACAAAGCTGTGAGTATGTTCCAGATATTTTTTATAAGGATTATTAACTACTGTTGACATTTCATTGCCAGTTTCATTAATTTCTCCCCAATAACAACTATACTCAGGTTTATTATTTTTCCCTTGATTAACTAGTGTACAAAAACTCAGGTCTTTGGAACAATGAAGCATTTTTAAATGTAATCTAATAGGATAAAATTTCTTTATATTTGTATTTGGGTCTAATTTGCTTTCCCACCAAAATTTTGCAAATGGACCATAATGCAGAGTGCTCACAATAGATCCAGTTTCAATAAAACTTGAATTAAATTCAATTGACATTTTAAAATGATAATTTTGCAAGAATAGAATTTTTTAAATATTTATTGTGTAATGGGGATGTAAAATATTTTTTTGTCGATCTTTTAATATAAAATTTCCCCCGTATTTTTATAATAAATTGATCAACATTTCTCTCATTCATAGACGGATCATCAATTAAATTTTTTCTTTACATAAATAATGATTAGAATAATAAACAAGTAACAATAATGATTAATCAAAAGGTGTTTTATTTCTCATTTAATTATTTATCATAGTGATGTTATTAAATATAAGTTAAAATAAACGAGAAATTTATATACATCAATAAATAATAAATATAATTATTGAATGATTGATAAAATGTTCACTTTTGTAAAACTTGCTTTGCAAGCTTCATAAAAACGTTTATACAAACTATTGAATAATTGATAAAAAATTCGTTAGAATATTTTGCAAGCTTCATAAATCTTGACCTTAACGCTTATACAAACTATTGAATAATTTATAAAACATTCGTTAGAATATTTTGCAAGCTTCATAAATCTTGTCCTTAAAGTTTACTTCGATAACTCCTGCACAAAATATTGAATAATTGATAAAATGTTTATTAGAATATTTTGCAAGTTTCATAGATCTTGTCCTTAACGCTTGTACAAACTATTGAATAATCGATAAAAAATCGTTAGAATATTTTGTTCATAAACCCTATAAAAAATTTAGTCAGAAAAGGTATGGATTTTCCATACATTTTCCACATATTCCATATGGAATACGTACAGAATTATACATTAAAAGAGCGCTTTTCCGTACATATTTGCCCTGAAAATGCCCTGAAAATGTATGAAAAGTACATGGAAAAATGCATGGAATATGTATGGAATTTTCAGAAAATTACATTCCGTACATTTTCATATGCATTTTCTGTGCATTTTCAGGACAAATATGTACGGAAAAGTGCTCTTTTCATGTATAATTCCGTGCATATTCCATACAAAATGCACAGAAAAACCATACTAATACATTATCTGAAAAAATTTTTTATACCATTATTATGTGTTTTGTCCCACCAAATATTTTACAATGAATAATGCAACACAACCTTTCTTGTATAATCTATCCTTGATAATACGGGCTAGAATTCACGTACGTAGTCAATTTGAATTTCGTATCCAAACACATCACCCCAATAATAATAAAACACGATTTGATTAAATTAATAATAATAAATAGTTAATATCAATGTTTTTATTATTACAGTTATACATAATAGAAAAATAAGCGAATAAAATATAAACTAACTACATGATTATTTTTCGTATACTAAATATTGAATTATTTTATAACAAAAATTTTATACATATTGTTGAAAAATCCAAAGCAATATTTTATTTATTCAAATGAATATTCTCTCCCTAATATTATGTGCATGCGAAACTACCAGGAGTACAATATTTTCCAAGAGGACAACACCCTCCAAGATTATCGTTACAGCAATAATAGCTATAATCCGTACAACATGTGCCACCTGCACATTCAACTGGACAAGTTGCATCCTGAATACTTGCACTAGCAATTGCAAAAGATCCGAAGGATCCGAAGAAAGACACAAGAACAAGGATTAAAATAAAATTCTTCATTTGAAAGTGCGTCGGAATAAATATATTTTTTATTTAGATTAATTCAATAAACAGAAATATGATTTTAATAAATACATTAGAACAATAATGATTATAATATAAATTTTTTGGATTTTTTGATGAAAAGAATATGGGTTTAAACCGAGGCTTTTTATAATGATTTGAAATGGGAAGTTATCTCCTTTTTAAAAACTATTATTAACAATGATTTTTTGCCATATTGTACGCAATCAATTAAAAAAGTTATTCGAGTTTCTATTCTGCGGCTGTGAATATTAATATTTGGCAACTTACAGTGTATCATGAAAAAAATGGCAAAAAATTGAAGTTGTTCGAACACGTATATCTTACCTAATTTGATCTAATTTTGTTTTGTGGTTTTTTTTACGTTTTGATACAAACAATAACTTTTATTTTTTAACTTCTTTTAAAAAGTTTTTGGCCGTTTTCTAGTTCATTTTTAGCTTTTTTTTTTGAATTTGATCACGAAATGACTAAATCAAGTTTGAATACGCAACGTGAGACCATTTTGCATTGTTGGAACATCGGAATGCGCTCAGTTAAGGAAATTCAAAGATCCCCATGCGAACTATTTATAATAATCTCAAAAAATTAGAACAAAATAATGGAAAATTGGATCGAAAAAAGGGAGTTCTACAAAACTATTGAATAATTGATAAAACGTTCGTTAGAATATTTTTTCATAGATATTGTCCTTAATGCTTGTACAAACCATTGAATAATTGATAAAACGTTCGTTAGTATATTTTGTTCATAGATCTTGTCCTTAATGCTTGTACAAACTATTGAATAATTGATAAAACGTTCGTTAGTATATTTTGTTCAGATATTGTCCTTAACGCTTGTACAAACCATTGAATAATTAATAAAACGTTCGTTAGTACATTTTGTTCATAGATCTTGTCCTTAACATTTACTTCGATCTTAATCTTTATTATCATCCTCAAAAAATGATGATTCGTTGTCGTCGTTGCTACTAATTATAATATTATTATTATTGATTGATGGACCTTCGTACATTACAAAAATGTAACCAATCAAATCAATTAACGAGTTTTATCTTTTTTTTTAATTTTTAAATGTTTCTTCCAACCAAATAAAATAAATAATAAAAATTAACAAAAAGAGAGGTTATGTCACGAAGGGTCAATCAATACACCTAACATGAGCCATCCATGTGAGTTCCACCCTTCGTCACGCGGGACTTTACAGCTGGCCCAAAGTGAGGCATACACCTAAGGGAGCCAGACACAGAGTGTCCATAATGGGTACTTCATCATTGCATGACTTTTATCCGGACGATTAGTTATTATTAAACCCATTCTATGACTTATATACCAACTTTTTTCAAGTTGTGCAAAATATGGGATATCAACCAGTTTACAACTGGATAAATTTAAATTTTTATTGTGTAGTCTAAAAAAAAATAGAAAAAGTAGACTGTTAAATACAAGATGTATCATACATACAAGCTTCCAAAGCATGTTGTAAAATATACCGATGAACGGTTATCAATTATTAAGTTTCCAAATGAATGCTTCATCAATTATGAATAGCTTGTATCGAAGTAAGTGTTAAAGTCAAGATCTATGAAGCTGTTTGTAAAATATATTTAATCAATTATTCAAATAATTATATAGACGGGCTTGGTCGTCAAGATCTATCTGTAAATCAAATTTCCAAAATGAACGTTTATTATTATAGGCGGGATTGATCGAAGTTAATCAAGATCTACGAAGTTTGCAAAACGAATGTTTATCAATTACTCAATAATTATATAGGCGGGTTTGATTGAAGTAAGTGTAAGTCAAGATCTATGAAGCTTGCAAAACGAAAGTTTATCAATTATTCAAATAATTATATAGGCGGGATTGATCGAAGTTAATCAAGATATACGAAGCTTGCAAAACGAATGTTTATCAATTACTCAATAATTATATAGGCGGGTTTGGTCGAAGTAAACGTTAATCAAGATCTACGAAGCTTGCAAAACGAATATTTATCAATTATTCAAATAATTATATAGGCGGGTTTGATTGAAGTAAGCGTTAATCACGATCTACGAAGCTTGCAAAACGAGTGTCAATTATTCAATAATTATATAGGCGGGATTGATCGAAATGAGTGTTAAAGACAATTTATACGTTTTATTTATTATTTATTTATATATAAATAAAATAATTATTAATGAAACTTTAATTAATATTAATTCAGAAATGTAAAACAATCACTAATAAAATACCTTTTAGTTTTTGCTGAATCCCGTCTACATAAAATTCTTCATGGCTATTACAGTATTAAATTTCAATAAAATAGTTTTTCATGAACCTCTCTAAAACTTATTAACCAATACCCCTCATAAAGTAATGACCATATGAATGCTTAAATTATTCTATACCTTCTCATTTATTATCAAATATTTTAAAGCGATATTGAGAAATAATCTGAGCTATGAAGTGAAAAAGTAATACCGTTTTTGAATAGCCGTGAATTCATGTAGAGAAGACCTTTCGATATGAAAGAGTATCTTTTAAAAAGCTTTAATGGAGTACTTTCATTTTACTCTAACAACAAAGTTCGAGTTTATTATAAAGATAACGAAATATTTTTAAAAAAAATTCATGTGACACGAATTTCGAATATATGTTGGAATTGTACCATTATTTTTTTTTCTTCTGAACATTAACGTTATAACTTTTAATATAATGATCAAGTATTATATAACACTTAAAGAAATAAGTAATCTCAACTGCTTCCACTACTATGTAATATAAAGATAGAAACAATACATTACTATTATTCTTATAATGAAAAAAAAAATCTTTGCATACGCTTGACACTTTCTTCATAACATTAATACCTGACCTTTACCAAGACATTCTATTATTGTTTTAACAGATTCAGCAATTTTTCTTTTATGCTTTTCCTTTTGAAAATTGGTTTTATTTGGTCTTTGTTTAGTACTAATGCCCAAATCAATTTTATTTATAAAAGTAATGTAAATATAAATAACTTGACCAGCTTAACCCATCCATATCTAATGGCGGTGGTGGTGATTCACTATTATTAACCAAAGGTGACCTTGAATGAAATCTTATTTATTGAATATGTTAATATTGTCAATATACGTTGCGGAAATAACTATCTCTACATCCCACAAAGTAAAGAAACAAAATATTCTTTGAGTTTTTTTCTATCTGCACACACAAAAAAAATTTATGCAGTATATACAGTATATACGACAAAAGTATAGTATGATTATATTATTGCATAAATACCTATATAATTGTGTTGGTTTACTGGGAATTCAAGTCACCAGACTATATCAATACACGCACGGTAGTCTTGTATTGAAGTTCTTCTTCACCTTGTTCGTTGGGTTGTTCATCATATTCGACTACATCTTCGCGGCATAGTGTTCTTTATTCTCTTTGTGGTCATATAGTCAAATATTAACGATATATTAAAAAATACTTAATATTGTTGCGGCAACACAGCCGGGATATCTACCTGTTAATAAACCAAGAAGATGTTTGTCATCATTGTATTGAATCCTTTTGTATAATCATATAGATTGATTAATAAATAAACAAAATAAACATATATGTATATATATATTTGCGATGAAAGTTTTGAAAATATCCTCCAGGTTGTACCCTTATTATTTTACAATGAACAATGCAACACAACCTTTCTTGTATCATCTATTCTTGATAATAATAGGCTAAAATTCACGTACATAGTCAATTTGAATTCGTATCCAAACACATCACACAATATTAATAAACACGATTTGTTTTTAAATCGGAACAAAATTATTAACAAATAGTAAATACCAATATTTTATTATTACATTTATACATCATAGAAAAAAAAAATGAATAAATATAAACCAACTACATGATATTTTTCATATACTAAAAATATTGAAATATTTATAACAAAAATTTTATACATATTGATGAAAAATCCAATGCAATATTTTACTTGGTTTTAAATGAATCTTCTTTCTCTACTATATCAATAGTGTGAGCATGTATATTCATTAGGAGTACAAGATGATCCATTTGGACAACACCCTCCAAGGGAATCCGTACAGCAATAATAGCCTGTTTTACAGCAACTATCATTGTAGTAACATTTACTATATCCAACTGGGCAATACTGAGCATTAACACTTAAAGCATGACCTGTGCGAGGTGCTGGAGTTACAGCAGCTAAGGCTCCGAAGGATCCGAAAGACATAAGAACAAGAACAAGGATTAAGATAAAATTCTTCATTTGAAAGTGCGTTAGAATAAAGATATTTTTATATTTAGATTAATAAACAGAAATATGATTTTAATAAATGTATTAGAACAAATAATGATTATAATATAAAAATATTGATTTTTGTATTTTTTGATGAAAAGAAGATGGGTTTAAACCGAGGATTTTTATAATGATTTGAAAGTGGAAGTTGTCTCCTTTTTAAAAACTATTATTATGGAATTAATTTTAACAATGATTTTTAGTCATATTGTACGCAATCAATAAAAAAAAATATTCGCTTAGGAATTTTCTATTCCACGGATTAAACGTGCAATAAATATTTGCCCAACATATTTTACAAATCTAAATTTCTTTGTTTTACCAGTATTTGGTTAGTTGCAAGAGGCGCAAACCTTTTGAAAATGTTACGTAAAAGTATTTTTAACAATGAAATTTAAATAAAGCATTCAAAGATTATTTTGTTTGAATGAAAAAACTAATTCGAATAAAGTCCATCAGTTGATAATCTTTTTACTAAAAAAATCTATTCTTGATATTTATGCGTCAGACGAAGTGCTTGAAATAGATCTTGAAAAGGATGAAGTTGGTCAATATTAATATTGTCTCTATTGTCTCTATTATTGTTGTGAAATGAAATCTATGTTAATTCGCATTTCCAAATTAAATCAGCCAATATTAACCTAGAAAAATTGTTATTCATGAATCTTGTTCCATTCACGTTTCCTTAATGAATGAATAAACAAATACAGTCAAAACTCATTAAATTCATAGGTCTGGTACAGCAAATTCTTTTTTGTTATCATCATCTGCTTGATTTGAAGCTTGAATTCATTTTTCAGGAATTTACTACTTACCTAATAGCAATATTTTAATGGTTACATGAGAGAAGTGATGATAGCATATAATAAAAGATCATTGATTATGAAATTACCGAATAATAATAATAATGAATTTATCGAATACGAATTTAACAAGCTTTGGCTATAAACAAATAAACTACAATGAATTAAACAAATTAGGTATTTAATTAATTCAATTGATTCGTAATCAATAACTTCAGATGGTAGATCATTACGCACAGATAGTTTCTAAATTTGTAGAATCCATTGGTCGCATGCCAAAATTTATACAGCCCCGAGTCATCTAAACACAAAATTTCAAATTCTAGAATATTCAGAAAAATAAAATTTCTTAAATAGATAATGATCTTCTCCTAAACTATCATCAATAGTTAACGAGGTAGCAAAATTTAGGTAAACATTATTTAAAATATAGAAAGTTACTAATATTCAAACCATCACATATTTTTTAAGTAATAGATATTTTACATCAAACTTTTTATAGAATTATTCTTTGTCATTGACTATATAAAATTATGAAGAATTTGAACCCAAATTACTCTGTGTATCCATGTGATAGGCTTCAAAATGCAGAATAAAATTGGTCGGTTTTAGATGACTCGTGCTATACAAGTCACCTAGTCCTACAACTTTTCGCGTCACATCATCGCCAATTTTGAGAAAAAATAAAAAAATGCAATAAAAATTGTTTGATCATGTGATATTTCCTAGCCATTCCATGAATAAGTATGCAATAATATTGACATTGGCAATTTTTATTTTGTTTCAATTCGTTTAAACTTTTGTCTGAACATAGCAAATTTGGTAAACGTGTGCAACTTTGAGGCTCAAATCCTCCATAATAACATAACATACCAACAAAATGAAATCGTAACTTTGTAGGGAAAGGTATTGGGCTTCAAAAAATTACAAATTATTTTTTGGAGTTACATGACCAATAAAAAGTTAAAAACAAATATTCAGAAAAAGGGAATCTATTGCGTGTAATGTAACCACTTTCGACAGCGGCGATCAACTCAAAAAACAATGAAATTGTAATTTTGATATTTTTTTTAAAATGAATGATTATTTTTGTATGTTTGTTTGTTTATTTATTTTGATGTGTCGAAATGTAAGTGAAAAAATTTAATTTCGCATGACAAAATGGATGGATATCTTGTTTGCACGATAATAAATACAAGAACTTTCATTTCTGAAAAAAGAATTCGTGTAATAGACTGGTCACTCAATAGTTCTGACCTTAATCCTATTTAAAGTTGGTTATAGAAAAAAACCACAATAGAATTTTAACATGATACTTCTACTAACATGTTGGTAAAAAAAGTTATTAAAAAATCTCTAATGGTAACCATTGGAATAAATACTGTTTGAGTTGCTCTTTCATAATCTGTTAATCTGTACAAAGTATGATTTTTACTAAAATCAAGAAAATTTGCATGTCAGGGAGTTTGATTTTTTTTTGAACAAATTTATGTATATATTTCTCTAATATAATATATGTTTCATTTTCTATCTTTTCAGTTATGATCCAATGATCTAACAGGTATTGGAGGTTATATAAGAGGAAAAAGTTATGGGTTTTAGAGACCAAGCCATTATTTTCTTTTCTTCTAAACATCAACGTTATAACTTTTAATACAATAAGTATTATATATTATTGGCAAAACATTCTCATTTATACTTAAAGAAATAAGTATTCTCAACGGCTTTTATTAATGTGATACAAGTTATTTGTTTGTTTGTTTATTACTTCTGTACTTGATCAAAAAAATGATATTGATAAAAAATAGATCATTGCTTATTTTATATTAATTAATATTATGTGTTAACATATGTTGGACATTGACATACTTGGACCAAAAAAATTTTCTTAAATAATAGGCTTCAAATAAAATACTGTATATATTATCAATCTATTTTTCTTTAATAGTCTTGTTGTATATAGTGATAATAATTAGATGTGGGTTAATACATAATGCGTATGATACCCGACGAGCGAATTGTGTAATGTTACACTTTTTTTTTTAAAACTAGATGAATGCTTTATGACAGTGACTTCGTCACTAGTGTTACTTGTTATTTACTGTTTTAAAGTCTCTATTCAA